CTGCATTCTGCGATGAAGTCATACACTGTATGGTCGATGTGACGAATGAGAGTTTCCAATTTATTTAGACCTTCGGGTTTGACTGAGTTAATGTAAGCTTTGAAAGTACGGAACCAATGAGTCCATCGTTTCATGCCATCTGATGAGTGAGGATCGGCATCAAAAACCGTAGGTCGGAGAATATGATCCATTTCGTTTTTATTAGACGATTAAATTGTTGCGAGTCGAGTAGTTCCAGGACGGGATTAGAAAGGAGACAGAATAGGAAGACGTAATGTACGCTTTAATCGTCTAATAACTGTAGTACATGAGCTGAAAATAGAGTGAGAATCACGAGTTAATGGGCTATGCAAATGTATGGGTTATATAGTCATGACACCCTGATTTCCTTGTTCCTTTGTTCATAGCAGTTGCAATCCCTGTGCCTCAGAACATAGTTTGTAGCTGGATGAAAGGCCATTTTACTGTCTTGTCATCGCAGTTTACTGGTGGGACCGGGTCCTATCAGTCAATTAATCCTAATTTGCTCTTTGAGGGTGGGACACCCAAAAGTGATGGACGCAGTTGTCAACCTTACAAGAACATTATATCACCTGAAGGATCCCGGGAAATAGAACACACTCCAAGTCTGGAACTCTGTAACTTTGGGCCGGCTCAACGCCCGCACTAACAGAGTATCTCGGGACCTCTTGGCAAAATTGTACAGAGATAGTGATATTGGCAGCACTGTACTTGCTGTATTGCAATATTTTATGGCCCCGAGTAATTTGTGCACATGCAGTCATAACATTCCAAAGAGCTTTTTGTGGTGGATTGTGAAACCACAGTCAACCGCATTATACCAACTGCCGTATGTGGCTTCCTTGAGCTGTACACCGTTTTCAGTTGTTGAACGACCACTCATAAATTCTCGCCGGAAACATGTTTCTACCTGTTTTTTAAATTTCAGCTGGAATGACAGGGTCGGGTTTTTCCCCCCTTTTGCCCCATACTTTTTCTTTAAATTCTCGCCGGAAACATGTTTCTACCTGTTTTGTTTTTTAAAGCTGAAATGACAGGGTCGGTTTTCACCACCCTGTAGCCCATACCTTGTCTTAGTGGCCTTTCTTATTGGCTGCGGTTTCAATACAACAAATGACCAACCGGTTGTTGACGGGAGGGGAGTGTCCACAAGGCGTACTAGATGTTATCGAAGGTGCCATTGGATATCTAGCACTATCCAATGGGTTTGCGGCCATCGAATATGCTGCTCTGCGTATTTTGTCAAACATTTTCCTCTCATGTAAGTTGATAATCACCTTACGCTTTTACGAGATATCTTGCGCACGTATACCGTGGATGAACGGTATTGGCCTCTGGTTTTGAATTAAACTGTCGCTACCTAGTTGTGAATTCTTGTGTTCCTAAATTTCCTTGCTCAATAATCGATGCCAACATCTTATCGTTCCGATTTCTTCACTCGTCACAATGGATATAATTTACTTGAGCGCTCGAGATAGCTGGGTAGTTGAGGTGCAAATTTACTGATCGGAAGGTCCGCAGTTCGGACCTAACTTCACCATCTTGACTGCTTCTGTCTAGGCTTGGGCCGTTCGACAGTGTCTCAGTCACCGTGCTTCCTTGAGGTGGCTTGGCAGCTAGGCCCGGAAGATTATTAAAGCCCATCATCAATAGCAACATCGGTGCTTTGCCTCCGCCTTTATGTTCATCATCCTGCCCCCACCCGTTTTTTTTTGTGAGGATACGCTCGTTCTCTTCATCAATTACGTTGGGAGTGAGTCACATTTTTTGCGTCTTATAAACTACTGTTTCCCAACGTGGTAGCGTCTGGATAAGCTGCACCACAAGCCGTTCTGTTCTGGTGCATGTACAGCGGAATTGTTTCAGCCAAGTTGTGTTGAGTGTAACCTAATAGTTTATATGAGTAGTCTGGAAAAAAATCCTTTCGGCTCACGATACCATGGCAGTCAATTCATTCCGTCATTTTGTCGTGGTGGTGTTGCAATGATTCTGATTGGAACTCAGTTCCCCCAGGTTGAACCTTACCAGGGCGATATGGCTCAGTAGTTAAAGCGCAAATTTACTGATCGTAGGGTCCGTGGTTCGAACCCGACCTCTGCACCTTGAATTTTACTGTATAGGGTTTGGCAGCCTGGCAGTATCCTAGCCCACATGTTTCCTCCGGGTAGCATGGCGCCGGAAAGTTGTTACAGCTGCATGACCGACTTGGAGATACAGTTGTACTGACATCTGTGATAGGAGTATGTAGGCAGTGAAGCTCTTCAGGTGACCAGCATCTTCATATTTATGGGAGCAGCGATGCTGCCTTCCCCCGAGGAAGGACGGGTTAGAAAAAGTCGGCCCCAGAAGCTGCATACTCCGGTTGCCCAACAGTTGACCGTGTCCACCGACGCATCATTAAGTACGGTTGAAATACTTTTTAAAACCAGTGTCTGGTGCTACTCACAAGTACCTGCTGTACAGCTGTACTAGCAGTGAGACAGTAATGTTTTAGTCCCTGCTTCCCCGGGCCAGGCCGGCCTCTGCAGTCAAGTAGGTCACGCTATTGAGCCATTAGCTCCGGGACGGGTCCACCAAGGAAACCCCAAGTGTTGCTTCGCGGTTCATACTTGAGTCAGAGGCTAGGAGCAGAGTCTCTGAAGAAAACTCGATATCCTCCCATTGCTTTGTCGGTCAGAGTTTTGAGCGAAGGCTTCGGCAAATGGCTTTGCAGCTCTTCCTTCACCGATCATCCCCACACCCTCTCCCCACGCATTGAACGACGCAGTGTGACCAAATCGTCTGCCGATTGTATTCAAAATTTGCCCGGGAAAATAAACCATAATAATCACTTATTGACTGGATCTGATCCACCTTGCAACCATAGTCTATGTTGAATTGGGTGAGAAGCATCTCTTGAAACCTTGCTTTCTCCCTCTGTCGATGTTTGTTGTGCCTCCGAAGCACGCATGCAAGACCTCACCTTGGGTGTGCATCTCAATTTACTTGGGACAAGCTCAGACGTTCCACGTCCCAATATTCCAGTGATCCTGTCACAATAGCTCGTATCTACGGTGTGGAAGATGCCGCAAGGCTGAAATGCCTTACTAGACGGGGTCTCCGTAAACAGTCATCTTTGTGTTGTTCGGTTTTCTGGCCCAATTAAAGTCAACGCGAATCGATTCTGTAAACGGTGTTTATATATCGTGTCAGCACATGCCTCGACAGACAGAAGTGCGGGTTTTATCAAGATCTGTCACGACTGTTTCGCTTAGCAATAAAGACAGATAAAGTACACCTTCCGGGCGGTATGACGTGGTTGAACAGCATCTTTGGGGTGGAGAGTTACGTTCTCTCATGTCTGTAGGAGGGATGAATGCGTCGAACCGACAGTCTACTTATTTAATGGTGGTAAAACAAGTAACTGAATCATCAGATGTAGATTTTACAAAATGGAGTGAAATGAGTGCTTATTTCTTATGTGCACGAAAGAAAATCACTTTCTGCGTTTTCGAAGATGCCTTTATATGGACGATGATGACTACAACGTTTCTGGCTGTGAAACTCATGGTCCGTGTTTCCAAATTTTCCTCTAAATGTCAGTAATGGAAGCTTATGGTCGTCATCAGACTGTCTTTGTGTCTCTCCAACTCTTTTATGTTGTCGTGTTTTTAGTCAGATATGGCTAGCTATTATGTTTGTTTTAAATGTATCGAATCTATCATTGATGTCCTTGTTGGTGCCGATCGTGTTTGGTAGCTTTTAATACAGTGTGCAGCAATAATCACGCCTTTATACCCGAATATCCCGCAATTTGTCTAATTTCCCTCTTCTGATTTGTTACTCTAGTTGTTGAAGACGTTGGTGCATCTGCGTTGAGCCATGCGGAGAGTACTGGACGCACGACGATTCTCCTCAGTGATGTGATTTTGGCTCTGATTGATTCTGGTTTTGATCTGAAGGGTCTTGAGGAGCTTCCTCGACGTCGACAATACAGAGGCTTCAAAGAGCGTGAGTTGTACTTCCCATGAAATTCATGTCTGTAGGTCAGCCGGCAGACAGCTTGCGGGTGTCGCACGACGATTCGTTTTAGCTATGTCCGCTTCAGCGCACCACAAACTATCCAGATGGGTGCTCGATTTTTCCCTCTTCATAGATAGTTGTTTGCCACTGTCAAAGACTCGTCCTAGTTGACACAAGTGTTTCATAGTGTATATGTAAAGTTGTAGTCCGTCGACGTCGAAGCTCTTACAGTCATTCCTCTTCACAATCCAGCAGGCTATTTATCCCTATCGTACTTGACGTTTCCGATTTTGTTCCCATCACTTCGAACTTGAAGGCCATGTATACAGACAGTTAATGGAAGAGCGATTATCCCTCTTTCTAGGTCGGTGGTAGAAAATCACTTCTGACGATTTGTGGACCAATTTAAAGAACTTGATTGACGCACTTTATTCTCCCACGTTACCGGACTAATAGTTCAGCCACTTGCTGATCCGGCACCTTTCGCTCTCATCTCCGGAAACTTTAATCTTGAATTCACGGTTGAATCGTTGAATTCATAATGAGGCGGCCTGGTGCAGCTTATTCAGTTGCTTGAAAACATCATAATCGAGAGATTTACCTGGGCTCCATGTGAGCCTCCCGTCAAGGCCGGATTAATACGCAAGTGAGTGTATTTGTCACAGTTGGGTGTCTGATTTAGGTACTGTGCCGTTGTGAAATTGGTATACCGAAAAGCTAATCAGAACTAATTTTAGCTACACCGCGGGCGACGATGATAGACTGGTCACTACTCGTACAAAAAGTAATAATGCATGTCATAATTCATTGATGGTCCAGACAAACACAATTGGAGAGCGATTGCCACACTACAACTTGCAAGCGTAAAGTAAGTACTTTGACTGAAGTCGAAAGGAATCATTTCATAACCACTACATGACACATTCCAAGAAGCAGAACGTACTGCATGTTTCCGTCCGTCCGATTTCGATTTTCCAAAATACTTGAGTCTCATTGCTATTCGTCTGTTCTCTTTGATGCTAGTCGCCAGTCCACCTTCAGCTACGTTGACGAGTTCTAGTTCTATTTCGCATGCGGTCCAGGAGATTTTGTACTCAGTCGCAACCGTTCATCCTAGTTTACTGTGCGCTCAAGTTTAGATAAACAAGATTTACTTGAAAAACGTCCAACCTACTTTGTCGTGACGAAGGAAGTTGACACAGTTATCCTGTGCTTGCTGAAGCCCATTTTGATACAACCCAGTTGAGGTCAGATATATGACACCAGATAGGAGATAATGTGTCGAGTTTCTCCACTGGTCCTCAATGCGAATGGGAATATAAAAAATACACTCATGAGACCACTCAAGAACAAGTTTGTCTAGGTACTTATCGCTCCACTGTGACTTTTTATAATTTTCAACATCATTCCGTCTTCTTTCTATATCACCTTAGCTATCGCCATCGGGAGTTCCAATGGCCGTGGTGTTGCATGCTCGGCAATCATCGGCCCTAGCGGAGCCACCATCATTCCTAGACCTTTGTCACTTCGCTCTGATTGGCCACCATCCGGCCGCGGGATGGGCAGTGGGAATGTTCAACACAATACTACTTGTGCTGTCCCGGAACAAAGTTTGCCTCCTCCAGCTCCTGCCCACTTGCATCTTCCTGGACTACCCGAGCCTCACACATTTTTGCATACCAAGGTTAAACGACCGCCGGTGACCAGTGACCCCATATCCCTCCGGCGGCGTGTTGCTGAGCAGCGCCGCAAAGTTCAGCAATCGCTTGTGCAATTTCTATCCCGTATTCAACCAGTGCAATATTTGTTTCCAGGCGATACCGAGTCGTTTATGTGTAAGTGATTGCCACAATTGGCATGTTTATAATAGTTGTTCGCTAACCGATAGTTTTCTGCCTCTGTAATGTATGTTTGCCAAGGGGAACGTTATGTGGGTTCCACCTTTGTATAGTTCATTCAAGCAAAGTGTATCCGCGATCCGGTTTGAAGAGCCCGTTTAGCCATTTGACATTAGGTTAGATTGGGTTAGTTTGGTTTATTTGGTAACATCAAAGCGTTACGAACTAAGTTTCATCTTATGTTTCATAAAGTACAAAATTCATCGGTCTCAGCTTTTCTATTACTACATAGGTGATCTTTAACAGAGAGTCATCGACCTTCTAAGAGTCTTTTCGAAATTCACCTGGGTGATAGTGTCCACTGGAACACTGGGAAACGTCAAACTATAGTATACTACGCACCTATTACGTTAGGTAAAGCGTCACTCGTGTTGAAAACTGGTCGTTTGCTATCTTAATTCAAATAACTGATGCGGATGAAATCATGGCGACTGCACGAGATCAATGAAACAATGTACACAAGAATAAGTTATCGGTCAAAACACATGATAAGGTTCACCTATTCATCAAACAATGTACCTAAGTAACGGCCTACTGTTTCGTGGAACTTAACTGCACAGTTTTTTTTTCCTCGACGTTAGATTGTTCCTCTTTTCATGCTTTTACCAGCATCATTAAACCACTTAAAACCAATAAATCATCACCATCATTGTCAGCCGTAATAACCGCGTACTTGTCGTACAATTGTTGTATCTGCCGCAGTTTCGTTCCCCAATGATTTGGGGGGAGGGGTAGGTAGCTGCGCATTGCACGCGTGAGCTGGTAAATTCGTGCATAAATCCAGCACTGTGGTGCATAATCTAGCACTGTCAGTGGGCTGTCAAGTGGGGTGTCATAAATGAACAATCGTCTTTTACTCGTTTTTCTACCCCAAGCATGAGCCTGAATTCGATGTGAACATTTCTATTAATCCCTCTAGCAGCTTTCTAAACTCACTGACACGACGAATAAATATTCGTTTGATTCCAAATTTTTTGGAGCTCAGCAGTGAATTTATGGTGGTTAATAATTTCTCTGAAGTCGTCTCGCGTTCACCAGTTCGACTGAATTGTGGTGATAGGAAGAACAAGAAGCTTACAGTAACTTGTTCAGCATTATTGCGTACAGTATTGCACCCAAGGCATCACACCACAGAAAGGGGGGTTTGGACCGCGCCCCGGGTGGACTTCTGAGAGAGGGATCGCATGACAACTCGTGATTCGCAGGGAACACGGTTCTGAGCTCTCCGTAAGTATTATTTACCTAGACATAGAACAGAGACTAGCCCTCGAGAAATACACTCATTTGCAAATCATTTGGGTTTTCACGGGAGATTCAATTGAATCTCTCGTTTATGATGTCC